GAAATGAAGGAGGGATATATATATTATATATATATGAACATCTGCTTTTCCCTACCATCTTTCATTTTCCTGCTTCCCCCTTTGAATTCAGAGGTTCTTAACTAAGAAGGTGTAAATCCTCTGCTTATGTACTTTCCCTTCATAATATTTATATGTCCTCATCACCAGGCAGTGCTCTTTTTTTCAGGCTGGACGGCAACTGGAAGCTGAGCAGGCCTACAAGTACACGATGAAGGTATGATGCAGATACCTCTGCTGTTCATACTGTACTGAGGTTGGTAAACTGGAGGGAAGGTGCTGGCTTAATTCAGGACTTGACTTTACAGCATTTCATGATATGAATATTTTTCTAGAGGATTTTCTTACCATCTTTGGCCATTATCATGGGGCTGCTGGGTTTGGAATAAAAACCCGCATATTACCATGCGGGATCTTTTGTTAACCTCCCTGGGCCTCATTTTCCTCACATATAAAATGAAGGTGTTGCTCTAGTCCAGGGGTCAGCAAACTTTTTCTGTAAAGGGCAAAACAGGAAATATTTTAGGCTTTGTGGGCTACATGGTTTCTATTGTAACTACTACTCTGCCCTTGTAGTGCAAAAACAGCTATAGACAATACACCAACTAATGAGCATGGCTGCATTTCAAATAAAATTTTACTTACAAAATAGGCAGCAGGCTGGATTTGGCTCATGAGCAATTGCTTGCCAACCCCTGGTCTAGTCTATCAGTTATGATTGCAAGTAATTTGACTTGGAAGACAGTGGCTTAAACAAATTAGGAGTTTTATTTTTCTCATCTAATGAAAAGTCCAGAATTGGTACCACAGTGTCATCAGCGACCCAACCTCTTTCTTTCTGCTTCACCAATCATAGCATGCAGTTTCCATCCCTCATAGTTGCAAGACAGCCATTGTAGGTCCAGCTATCATATCCATGTTTCAGGCACAATAAAGAACAAGGCAGGGAAAGGACAAAGGGGCCATGCTAGCTATTTCACCTCCCTTTAAAGAGATATGACTTTACCTTACATTTCATTGGCAACAACTGAAATTACCCCTAGCTGCAAGGGAAGCAAGAAATGTGGCTTTTTAGCTGGTTACATTGCTGCCCTGGAAAGAAATGATTTTGTTAGTAAAAGAAGAGAGAGAGTGGGTTTTCAGTAGGCAACTAGATGTGTCTACTACACATCTAGATTTTAAAATTAAAGTCTGATGTCTTTGATTCCTGTGTCTTTCATTCCTTTCTCTCACTTGCCAAATAGGAACATTATTCATTAGTTAAGATATATTGGGTGATAAGGTAAACAGTTTTAAAAATAAACTTTAAGTTATTTTACAAAAACATACACGAATTGTGAGTGTTCATACCACGTGATGAATTTTCATAAAGTGAACACATCCATGTAACCAGCACGATGTTTTGAGGTCTTTTTAATGGAGTTATTGGGAAATAGAGAATATAGGAAGAGTCAATTCCATCCTGAGGAACTATGTTCTTTAGCTGTGGTTCCGCAAAAGAGGGGTCTCCACATAGGTATATCAGGTATGACATGTGTCCTTCCCTTCCTCCTCTCATGCAGCTGAAATTGAAAGATGAGAGTCTGCTTGCAGAGATCCACATGGTACAGGAGACAGTTGGCTTTGGAAATCCATCTTTCTGACATCCTTCCACCTGAAGAATTTTCTGTATGGGACACTGAGCTCCTTTCCTTCCCAGAGAAATTATACCCTGGATGTTTCACCATATGAGGGCTTGGGATAAAGAAAAAAGGATCTTCAGCACAAACTGAAACCCATTCACTTATTTCCATTGGCTATCTTACTGGATGTCTATGTTACTGGATGTTTTAGTGGTTGACAGTAAACTGGATGGCAATAAAAAAATCTAAATAAGAGATTCAGAATTCATCAGTTAAGGTATACTGAGGTATATATAAGAATATAACTCTGTGTGTGTGTGTGTGTGTGTGTGTGTGTGTGTGTGTGTATAAGTAAGGGATAGTAGCTTCATTATTAGGGTTTCCGGTGAAAGCTTATCAGGATCACTCCTGAAAGAGGTCAACTGCTAAGGTCGTTGGCCAGGTTCACTTACTGGAACTTGGGAATTAAGGCATCATTTCTAAGGTGGGTGGAAAGGAAGAATGCTGTGCTGGGTCACTGCATTAGAGCAAAGAGCATATGAGTTGGCCAGATCCTTTGGATCCAACAGTGAACAGAGAAGCTTAATAGACTGGTCCTTGCTGAAGGTATCTTCATGGATCTAAATCACAAGGGCTCCATGAAGAGTCCATTACCCTATAACAGATGCAAAACTCCTCACAACGGAGGCCATTTATTCTAGGGCTAGAGGTGACAAAGGAACCATACCTCACCCCTGTCCTCCGGATCCGTTTACAGCAAAACCAGAAATAAAGGCTCCCCTCCTTCATTTTTTAAAGGAGGCGGTTGAGAGACTAGGAGGGAGGTAGAGCAGGAGGGAAGGTGAGAGGCATATTAGTAAGCACAGAACGGTAAAATCAACTCTACATTCATTTATAGTCCTTCTACTCTCAGTCCTAACACTTACCTGTTTTATGAATCTTCCTGAGGCACAAAGGAATTATCAGGTTCACCTTCTCTTCCGCTCACTCCAGGACTGTGTACTGACCACCCCTAGTTACTCTGGTGTAACCTCACCATCTCCCCTACCAGACTGTCAAGCTTCCTGGGGTCAGGGACAGCGCATCTTTGCGTTCTCGGCAGCTCGCCTTGGCCCTAACTGGTGCTCGGAAAGTTTGCTGGAAGGATGGATTTGCGGAGCACTTTAGCACTTCTTAGCCACTCCCAGGACTGTCCTCTACTCCTCCCTCTGGCAGGAACCCAAAGGCCAGTGAGGGCCGGGAGACCCGACACGGCTCTTCTCGCACTTATCCGGCCCCAAACTGTAGCGCCCCTCCTTTGCGGCAGTTGAGGTACGTTAGTTTCCACTGTGTTGCGTTACGGGAAGTGTAGGGGCGAAAAGCGGAAGAGGCGGGGCGAGTGGGCCGTTCGCTTCCGGCACCGAGGCTCCCGGCCTGGGGTCGCGGAGCTTGGAGGCCGGCTATTCCTCAACGCTGACCTTTCCCGGCTGTCCTCCGCGCTACCAAGGCGGTAGAGCGGATCCGCGCGGGAGGCCAGAAGCTCCGAGGCGTCGCAACTGGTGCACAGGCCCCGGCGCCTGCCGGCTGCGCTATGGTCCAGCTCAGTGAGTGATGGGGGCCCCGGGAGACCTTAAGGGCGGTCGCCGCGGGTAGGGGGCGTGCGGGACTGGGTGGAGCGGCGCTCCCGTAGACGAGCTCTGAGGCAACCAGTACCTGAAACTGCACACTTTTGACCCTCTCCTCAGTGGTTTTCTTGTTTTGTTTTTAAGTTTTCGCGGAAACCCTATGAGATAAACGGCATCAATTTTATAAATGAGGCAGCTGGACTCCGACATGGTCCAGAGCCAGTGTTGAGTGCGTTGGGGGATGGCTGGAGTGCATAAGAGGAGTTTCACAAAGAAACGGTATCTAAGTCAGATTGACAAGAATTGGTTGGAAGTAAGGACCTTTCAGTGGAGGAAGGGGGCTCATTTCATCTATCTCATTTTGTCGGTTTTGTGCCCTCGATTCTTGTGTCTTAACCACTTTTTTGTCTACAGGTACTCTGCTCTGCAAGGCCTACCATGGAGGCCACTTAACCATCCGCCTTACCCTGGGTGGCTGTACCAACCGGCCTTTCTACCGCATCGTGGCTGCTCACAACAAGTGCTCCAGGGATGGCCGTTTCGTGGAGCAGCTGGGCTCCTATGATCCACTGCCCAACAGTCATGGAGAGAAAATCGTTGCTCTCAACCTGGACCGGATCCGGCATTGGATTGGCTGTGGAGCCCACCTCTCTAAGCCTGTGGAAAAGCTTCTCGGTAACTCAGCTCTAGCCTTACCTCTCTGAGGGGATTTTAAATTGAAATCAGCTCGAAGATGATGGGAATTAAGAACGATTTTCATTATCTCCAGGCTAATCAGGACTGGAGTGAGAACTGAAATTGATCTGATTGCCATTTTGAATCTGGAGATTCCTTTTGTAGACTCCTTTATGAGACTTTTTGGATGACTGAGATTTTATGCTAAAAAATGGGAACGGTGTGTCTTGAATGGCTATCTGTCAGTTCTTTTTTTTTTCCAAGTAAGGAAAATAGTGTTAGGAAGTAGACAACATCCGCTGTGACCTTGCAGTAAACGGAAGGAAATGAGTTGGGGGAAGAGGTAAAACATTTTGTTGAGTGAGGAACTTGATTTGAATCTATGTTCTAGATCAGGTCTCTGTTAGACCTCAGTTCAGTGATGCTGAGTTCCCAGGGAAACATTAGCTTGTATTGTTATAATGAATGAAAATACTGTTACTTTTAGGTCTTTCTGGCTTTTTCCCTCTGCATCCGATGGTGATCACAAATGCTGAGAGGCTGCGACGGAAACGGGCACGAGAAGTCCTCTTAGCGGCTCAGAAAACCGATACAGAGGCTACAGAAACAAAAGCAAACTGACTTCAGTGATCATAGCACTGGGAACAAGGTCGAAGTCCTCTTAAAATATTTGTGCAGATCTCTTAGCTTTATTATATTTAGAGGTCAATAAATGGAATTTTTTAAGTCATCCATGGTATTCTGGCCTGACCTGAACAGGGCCCAGGGAGAGGTTTGTTCTTGACTGACATAAAGCTGGGTATAGGTACTAATTAGCTTTTTCATCCTTCATCTGGGGAAAGACAGTGGCTGTGGGGTGGATTGGACTCTGGGTCTCTTGGACAACTTTACAGCCTGCTACCTTCTAGGACTTCCCTGTGTTTCAAAGTCCCCAACCAGCATGTCTGTGTCCTATCCAACTAATTCCTACTTTAGTCATTTATGGTCATCCCACCAGCTCAGGAACACAGTTACTTCACTTACTATTTTTGTAATTGCAGATTTACATTGTCTTGTAAATGCAAAATTTCAGATTTACAAAGGTAGGTTTGTTATGAGCTTTTAGGCTCTAACAACCTACTTTTTAGGAATAACTGGAAGAAAGATAATATTGTAAAGTACCCACATACATTTTAGGCCTTTTCCGTGCAAGGTTATTTGTGAGAATTATAAGATATCATGAAATTAAGTAGGATTATCTCGTTTATAGGAGTGGAAGCTGAAGTTCAGCAGTAGAAACTTGCCCAAGGCCACATAGTTTTAATATTGGGCAGAGCTAAGAGTCAGACCCCAATGTTCCTACCTGGAGAGCCCTTTCCAACATGTCATATTGTCTGTAGCCGGGGAAATGAGCTAAGATGAGGGGCTTTACAAAAATCCATTTAAAAAGTCAGTGACAGAATCAGGTTTAGGTATCATGATTTTGTAATACAGATGACTGGTTGTGTCCCCCAAAACCCAAATAGCACATAGTCTGTTCCACCAGAAGTGCAGCAGGATTAGATGGTTTTAGTGCACATTGGATAATACAGATTTCATAATCTGACATAAAACTAAAACATAGGAGATTTATAGAGGAGATTCTATAGCCCTATCAATGTACCAAACTATTTTATTCTCTGGGTTTTATATTCTGAGAACAGTTACCAGCCATCTCAAAATCTGAGGTCATCAAGGCTCTCCCAGGGTTGTCACTGGTTGGCTTCCACTTACTTTGGGGCGACTTTAAAGGCACAGCAGGCAGAGAGCAACTGACTTTACCTGGGTTTGATCTTGGAACTAGGAAAGAGAAATGTTTTGAAAACCATTTCAAAGTTTAAAAGATAATAATCTACCCTGGAGAGTTTGAGGTCTTTGGAGAAGCTTTAATTGGTAGAGCAGAGGAGAATGTAATTCTGGAAAGTATTGTCCAGTGAGGGGAACTGATGTGAAATGGGTATTTTGAGCCACTTAGTTTCTTCCAGCTCACGTATTCACTTTGTGCCCTGGTCTATCTTTTGTCTAAGATCTATATACACAGACTTCCTATGTGAGCTCATCCTCTCCCTGATTTCCAAAGTTTTCTCTAGCCCTAGCCTTGCTTTGGATTTCCAGGCCCAGATTTTTCACCAAGTCTTGAATGATTGCATCAGCCTGTCTTGCTACCCACTCAAGTCCAGCATGCTCAAACCCAGGACTGCACTTGAGAAAGCTTTTTCTACTGAAGTTTAGGTTTTAATAAGATGAGCATTTGGACCATGTTATCTCCAGCAAAGTGGAAGGTGATTTAGGAGCTGGAAGGTGAATGGAAATGATTCTGTAATAAATATCAAATCTAGAAGTTCTATCAGACAAAGAATTTTTAAAAGACCGGTATTTTGTCTTTTTGTTTAATGTAGGCTTTTTAAATTGCAGGGCTCAAGGGAAAGTCCCTACCCAGCGGTCCCAACCTGTAGGTTGCAAAATTATTTGGGCCTCAGAGCTCTGTGTACTCTTGTCAGACCATCTTTGGAAAAGAACAAATCTGTTTAATCTTCAGGTTAAATTTAAACCATGTGAAATTGCCAAATGCCGATGATACGCTGTTTTTCACTGAAAAAAAGCAAAAAGAAAACAGTGCATAGGTTCAGTCTAATATAAACGTTCCTTATATTGTTGCATAAACTGAGCTAGGACGTTGGGGAAAAGGTAGGTGCGAGATTTCCAGAGCATCGGGAGGAGGGCCGCGGAGGAGAGGGCGTGGTGGAAGGAGGTCCCGGCGCTAGAGGAAACCAGGGACGCCGGCTCCACTCTCCGCCTCAATTCTGGCCGACGCAAGCTTGGCCACAACCCACTTTTGCAACCGCCGTAAAGTGTGGTGTCGTGGCTCCGCCCATTCCGGCGCCTCTTGTGACGCCGGCGCCCTGGGCTTTTTGCGCGGGAAAAGGGTGTCGTCCAGGTCTGCTCAGCGTCACTGGAGCCAGGCTGATTTCGCTGAGGTCGCCGCCGGCTCCGCACCGCTACCGGCCATGGGGCTTCTGGAGCTGTGCGAGGAAGTGTTCGGCACCGCCGACCTTTACCAAGTGTTGGGCGTGCGGCGCGAGGCCTCAGACGGCGAGGTCCGACGCGGCTATCACAAGGTGTCCCTCCAGGTGCACCCGGACCGGGTGGGCGAGGGCGACAAGGAGGACGCCACCCGCCGCTTCCAGGTGCGCTAGACCCCGGTCCGCCGGCTGCCCGGGCTTTTCTCCGTCTTCTGGCCGCCCGACCCCGCCCAGGTGGAGTGAGCCGAACCCGGCCTGGCGTTTCCTAATCTTTATTTCTCGCGGCGCGGTTCAGTGAGAGGCGCAGGGTTGATTTTTGGATGCTCTTTCCCGCAGATCCTTGGGAAGGTCTATTCCGTTCTGAGTGACAAAGATCAGAGAGCAGTGTACGATGAGCAGGGAACAGTGGACGAGGATTCTGATGTGCTCAGCCAAGATCGGGACTGGGAGGCCTATTGGAGATTACTGTTTAAAAAGGTACAGAACTCTGGAGATTTCCTTGTGACTGTTTTCATCATTCATTCAACAAACGTTTATTGAATGCCTCTAAGGCCTTGCATTTTGTGTTGTGTAAGAATGAGGAATTTTTATTTGGCCTCGAAATATCAATAAACACACATACACACCGGCGTTCCTCAGGAAATACCTGTCTACTTATCGATCTTTGAAGAAGGGAAGACATATCTCACCGTTAGTTTGAACCGTGTGTGTGTATCCATAACACATGCACCTACATACACACACACACACTCTTACTGAAAATGGGTCTTTAATTTTCCGTTGATGTAAAGTGCTTGTAGTGAAACGGGGGCATTTGATTTTTTACAAGATGTGCTTTATTTTACATAGTCCGATGTAAGTCCTGAAACTTTTCCTAGCTTGGAAACTTCACTTAAATTTTCCTGGTCTGTAGCTTAGCAGTTGTAAAGGTTGGATTAGGGAGAACTCTGGAAAATCTTTGGCATAGAAACTTTGGTTCCTTGCAACAATTTCAACTCAAGTAACTGAGTTGAGGAGAAACATTTCAACACCTAAATATACTTTTTACTAGTATTTCTTTTATTTAAAATAAAATTCTCAAAGTTAAAGCATATGCCTCTCATTTGTTCAGATATCTCTAGAAGATATTCAAGCTTTTGAGAAGACATACAAAGGTTCAGAAGAAGAGCTGGCTGATATTAAACAGGCCTATCTGGACTTCAAGGGTGACATGGATCAGATCATGGAGTCTGTGCTGTGTGTGCAGTACACAGAGGAACCCAGGATAAGGAACATTATTCAACAAGCCATTGATGCCAGAGAGGTCCCGTCCTATAATGCCTTTGTCAAAGAAGCAAAGCAAAAGATGAATGCAAGGAAAAGGAGGGTAAGATTTTGAATGCTGTTTATATCTTGACTGCTTCCAAAAAGAATTTGAGGATATTTACAATAATGAAAATATATACAAGACTGCTGAAATAAAGATTAGGTTTAACTTGATCTGTAGTTTTCATCTAATAAAATGAGCAGATCAGCTCATTAAGAGAACCTTTTTTTCTACTGTGTTGTGCTCAAGAGGATTTTACTGCATGGATTATTTAGATAATATCATTTTAAAGTACCACTGAAATATTCTTCATATGGGCCAATTCTTGTAACCTTGCTGAGGCATTCCTGAGGAGATAAAATAATTGAGTCCAGATACACAGGCTAGACAGTGATTCTCACTTGGTTAAGGCGTGGCGGGGAGGGTGACAGAGGCTGTCCCTTTAAAACTGTGTCTTGTTAATTCAGATTCCTTTGTTCTTGCCAGATTGATTCTTGAGTTGGACCCAGAATATACATTTTTTTAAACAAACAATTTAGTTTATTTTGATAACAGTGTCTTTCCAAACACACTTTGAGGTACACTTTTGTGGAGTATCAAGGACTGTGGCTTGTGTGTCCTTTATATGCATATTAAACTGTGGAGCTGGTGAGGGTAAGGATGATGGCAGGGGAAAGGAGCTTAAGGATATCTGGGGTTCAGGGAGGGAGTGGATTCAAGGTAACAAACATCTGTGCCTCTGGTCTTTTGGTATTAAAGGCACCATTGCCTCAACCTGGCTTTCATAATGGGAGCTCCATGGAGAGCAAACAGTGTAAGACTGTAGCTCTTTGGTGGGTACTTTACTTTGTATGGCTGAAATGGGGGTGGAGGTAGGTCTGCAGCTTTTAGGTAAAGAGACAGGAGAAACCTGACACCTGTGCTGAGTTGAGAGAAGGGAATGTGTATCAAGATGATCATTTTGGCTCATAGGCTACATCTGTCTAGATTCAAGCTGACAGTTTATCTTAAGTTGGTAATCATTTTTTAGGTGAAACTGAGCACAGCTGTATTCAGTAATAGGCTATTAGCTTGAGAAACTTCCCTAGAGTTTGGGGGAGCGGGGCGGGAGGCTGGAATACTTTTGAGTGAGACTCCCACAAACTTGGAGAGGGGAATACAGTATTAAAAGAAATAAATTGAATACAGGGACTGAAAGTAGACAATGGAAACCGTGTCTCTTTATTGGAATAACAGGGTCCTAATGTATCATAACTCCCAGTATTAATAGTATTCATTGCTACTTAGAAAATTCACTGGGGGTTGGGGTCTCTTATAGTCTTACTTGTTGCCCTGAAGGAAAGAATGAACTTATTAACCTTTCCCAAGGTATTCTTGTGGTATTTTGGAATCAGTGCCCTAGTAAAATGTGGCAAGAGGAGGTGGCTTTGAAATCCGGTAAAGAAAGGTTAAAACTGAATTTGTTAGAGTTTATCCTAACTACTCAGGGGAAATTTTAAACCAGGGTTGCTCTCAAGGCTGCCGTGAGTCACATGTAGTAAATTGGGTTTCCAGAGGAGGAATCTGAGGTGCCTATATCCTGGCAGAATTTTGAGGGCATCCTTGGCTAAGTGACCTTTCTTAGCTCTTCTAGCATTTTGGTTTCCTTCCTGTCACCATGTGGTTTATGAAACCAAATTACCTGCTTACCCCTAGCAAATACAAATGGGGAGCAGTCAGAAATGCTTATTGGAATCAGAGGATCTACTGCTTGATGTCAGCAATGCTGCCTTTTAGTGAGTGTCATATTTATGCAATTTTATCCTTTTAATTTATATAATCTTCAAATTGAAGGAGTCTTAAATTTGCTTTGGGGAAAGAGGGTGTATTTTTAGTATTTGCTAGATTGCCATAGCGTCTCACATGAGTTTCTGTTTTAGGCTCAGGAAGAGGCTAAAGAAGCAGAAATGAGCAGGAAGGAGTTGGGGCTTGATGAAGGAGTGGATAACTTGAAAGCACTCATTCAGGTAAACCTGGCAGGTTGTCTGTGAAGGTTGCCACCACTTCTTTCATGTTCTGATTCCTGCTGCTAATATTTTCTTTGGAGCGTATGTACAGTATTGTGGGCATTTTGTTTTCTTCTTTTAAGACATTCAGGTACCATACAGTCATCCTTTTAAATTGTACAGTTCAATGGTTTTTAGTATATTTATCAGGTTTTACAATCATCAGCACTAATTCCAGAACATTTTCATCACCCTAAACAGAAACCCCTTATCCATTAGCAGTCACTCCCCATTCTCCCTTTCCACCAGCCCCTGGAAGCTGCTAAGTACTTTTATCTCTGTGGACAGTCTTGTGTTTTGAAAGCTTGTGTTTTAACTTCTCAAACAGAGCAGACAAAAGGATCGGCAAAAGGAAATGGACAATTTTCTGGCTCAGATGGAAGCAAAGTACTGCAAACCTTCCAAACGAGGGGGGAAAAAAACAACTCTCAAGAAAGAAAAGAAATAATGGAATTTTCTCTTCAAAACTCCTTAGGTGTTAATTGATGCCATCGTAGGCAAGGTGCCGTCAAGATTTGAAGACAAAAGTTAACTCTTGAGAAAAGTTGTCTTTCAAGCCTAAATTATTCAGATCAACTATGTAAACCAAACAGAATCTCTCAACCTGATGTTAGTATATCCTGGAAACTAGTTAGTATATCCGTGACATTCTGTGAGGTCCTCCTATGAAGGAATTTGGGAGCGGAAGGGTATATGCTTCCTGACAGCACTCTTCTATGGGTCTTCTGTACAAGGAACTGTATCTATAATGCAGATCTATCCCTACCACATTTAGCAGTTGTCATTTTGCCACACAGGAGTGAGCTGCAGGGTATTCAGTGGTGTGTGTTTATTAGAACAGGTACTTTACCTAGCCTTCATCTGTCTTCCAAATACTTGCCAATTTACTTTCAGTCTTTTTTTTTTTTTTTTTTTTTTGTGGTACGGGCGCCTCTCACTGTTGTGGCCTCTCCCATTGCGGAGCAACAGGCTCCGGACGCGCAGGCTCAGCGGCCATGGCTCACGGGCCCAGCCGCTCCGCGGCATGTGGTATCTTCCCGGACCGGGGCATGAACCCATGTCCCCTGCATTGGCAGGCGGACTCTCAACCACTGCGCCACCAGGGAAACCCCTGCTTTCTTAATGTTCTTGCATAGACCCTCTCCTTTTTGTTTTACTCAACTAAGTTTTGCACTCTTTGCTTGAGGTTTATATGAGAAACAGGTGTTCAGATAACTTCAAGCATCTTACATGATTAAATAAACAAGTAAAAAAATGACTGTTAAGTTCCAGGAGCTTTTTAAATGATCCCAGTGTGATCATTTAAAAGATGATCTAGAAAAGATATGAATGGTGCTTAGGATAAAGAAGAGAGAAGAAAAGTAGTCGTAGTCAGCATTGTAGCAGATAGCCTGGTTTAAGTTGCCTCAAGAGATGTTGTAGTCCTGCCTGTAACTGCTGAATGTCCTTAGGTCACTGAGCTTGTCTGAACTTCTTTCCTCTATAAAAGAGTAAGGGAGCTGGGCTAAATGACTTGTCAGAGGCTCCTTCTGACTCTTAACTTTAACCTTGAAAGGCAAGCCGTCTTGATCCAGTGGCTTGTTATTATGTACTCCTGGTATTGATTTGTGAGAATAGTACAGAGATTTTCACTTATATTTAGTTGAATTGGTATGAACTCATTAGAATATATGGTAATTTTTTAGGGACTGTTCAACTTAAAATCTCTGATTTGTAAGCTAATATATTCAATACCATATACATAAAACAAGCCTTCTGTTACTGAGATTTATGTATCATGATTTATCTGAGGTAAGCCCATGACACGTTTTCAGTTTGTGATTATAAACAGGTTAAAAAATACTCTTTAATTGCATCAAAAATACAATTTTAATGCAGGTTGTTTGAAGCATCCGTCTTCATGTGATAGCATTAGATAACTGCGAAATAATAAAATTACCCCAATTGAATTGATCAACTCTGAAGATTAACAGTAAGATCTAAAACCAGTATGATCATCAAAATTAAAATTCAGTGAAATTTAAATAAAATAAATGTAAGCCATAGTTAAAACCATTGTTTCATTAATGAGTGCACTCAGGAAAGGTCCATGTGAAAATTGGAAGAATGTCAAAGTTCTCTTCCTTTGCTCTTAGGATATGTTTATACTGGACTAATTTGCAGGGTTTCTGAAATTTTAAGAAGTTGTGTCTTGCTGGCTCACTAATAGAAATATTCTATAAATTTTTAAATTGCCTTTCTTAGATCTGCAGGAGAAAATCGGCAAGGTGAGTTTAATATTTGGAAATAAATACGACCACTAAAGTACTTTAAGAAGAAAAGAAGCATAACCTGATGTCAAGCAGGTGTTGTGAGGTTGAGTCGTCCTATGTGGAAAAAAAATCCATTATGGTTTATTACATAGGTTACTTTACACCAGTGCTCAACATTTATGTCTTTAGTTACTCACCCCTGCCATATCTGTCTGCCTATGGAATTGGACATCTAAAGAGAAAACTTTAGGAACGACTCACCTGTTTGATGAGTAGCTCAGATTTTTGACAGCACTGTCTCCTAAAAATGATGTAAAAGTGAGTACACCTGTCCAAAAATTAACACAAGCAGAAGTATTCCGAAGCCAGTGATAATGTTACAAACAATTTCCTACTTTTTGTGTATGTATAGTCTGATAGAATCCTGTAATAAATGAACTGATCATTGTTAACAGACAATATGAACAGTGATTTGGAGGATATTACTCTTTTGTTACATCTTTGGGTACAAATTTTACTGTCCAGTGAAATGGTTAACTTATGCTGAAAGAAGACAGTAACTGGAGATAGAAGCAGTACCCATGTAATCTTTGGCTGATACTGTTCTCAGTCTGTTGTACCAAAATAACTCTTCATGAAGATAGTTTCAAGTTGTCTCCTGTTTACAAGCTCTGCATCACGAGATGACTGAACACTGATTTGTGAAATCTTCCCACATGTTCCCTGCAGCATGAGGCAGGTTCTTCTCACTTGCCCTATGGTCCCTGCCTGGTTCTAGTGATAGGTCCACCTCTGTTTTGAGATTTTGTAGATCCATGTAACTGCGGACCTGTCAGACAAAGATGACATCATAGAGTAACATTAGTAGACATTCTAGATTTGATTGTCTCAAGTTCATGTACGGGCTTTTTTGCTCCAGTTATCAGTTAGACTTTAAATTTGGAGCCTGTGACTAAATAGTAAAGTATATATTTACCAAGGCAATAAAAATCATGTGTGCGTATTTTATAATGTAAAAATAAAATCTATATTTAGATATGAAAGCAGTAACCTAATTTTAGAAAATAGCCACTAATTTAAAAGGACTTACCTAAATATTATACTAGTTATACTTGACCGGCAGCATGGCCAAATGTAATAACTAGCTCAGAGGCAGCAGTGCTTCTCTGAGAACTGATCCAAGAACCGAATCCACTGAAAGCATTCAAAGACTACCAAATGATGCTACTAGGAAGTGAACTAAAAGAATTCGCTTGGATTACAGAGAAGGTTTGAGGCAGATTACTTTTTAATGTACTTGCTGATTAATCTGATTATTAACAGGAAACATTTCAACTGCCCAATAGTTCTAAATTTCACTTATAACATAAGGAGAAAATGACCCTGATGGTGAGACCATTATAGGAAGAATTAAGACATCCTTAAATTATCACTCACATGAAAATAGAAACTATAGAATATAACTTAGAAGACAAAAAAGTTAATGGGATAGAATCAGACTCCTTGTGTCTTGACACTGTGAATTTCTTTTCTTACCTTGGCCTAGCAGCTTAACTGACCAGAGCAGTTTAATCCATAGCAATATGGGGTTTGCCAAGTAATAAAATCCATGCAGTGTTTGAATGTTACGAAAATGACTTATTTGGCTTAAATTTTTTAGATTAAAAAAAAAAGTAGTTTGCCGGAATGGCAAGAGGTTAATTTTTTTTTTTTTAAGAGGTTAATTTTTATATGAGAAAACAAATCTGGAACTTTCTGGCTTTGAGCAGTGGAGTTCTGTAATTTTTTTATTATATCCCATATTCCAAAATGAATTTGAGGTAATTTACAAAGATGTAGGAAAACAAAATGTAATAAAATCTGGAGGAAGGAAAAATAAACATGGAAAACAGCAGGGTCTTAACCACAGAGTAGTAAAATAAAAACCATGGCCCGACCTGTTCCTGCAGATCCCCTACCAGGTCGGGCCTGATGAGGATGCTCAGTAGCACATGAACGACGATACTGTGTGTCCGGCTGAAAAAGAGAGAAGATGAGACACTTCTTACGATGTGACTTCTCCCAGAGGATAATGTGTTACTTGGTTTAGGAGGGAAAACCTTGAAGTTGGACAGCAATGTAATCGACATCATCTGACATTCTGAGGGACAAGCTGGCTAAGTGTACTCTTACGTTCCAAGTAAGAAAAATCCGAAGCCAGAAGCCCACAGAGCCATTGTTAACTTGTAAAAATTTCAAGTTCTACAACTTTATTAATATGTCTTTAAGAAAATCTTAGCATTTATACATAATCCGTATGGTTTAATATTTCTAAATACTTACAATTGGCTGTCAAGGGAATTTTTATCTGATTTCCATTGCCTGCTGACTGTTTAAAACAACAGAACCAGAACCTTTTCAGCAACATTGAAACACCCATGACTACTTCCATGCTTGAAATGTGACTCTCAATATGGAACTCAAACATTTCAAAATTATCTCAAGGGATTTAAAGATTTTAAGATACAACTAAAATACCTAAATGGAGATATTAAAAAAAGCTATCAATACCATCCCACTGGTACTTCTAGAATAAAAACGTCCCTCGCAGTTTCCTGTCAGCACTGGTATTAAGAGATATGAGATTTTTTTTTTTCTTTCCTGATGAAGCCCCATGTTTTCTATCAGGAATCAGCAAACTTTTTTGTGTGTAGAGGGCAAGATAGTAAACGTTTTATGTTTTGTGGTACATACTGTCAGTGGAACTCCTCAGTTCTGCTGTTACAGTAGGAAAGCAGCCACAGACAGTGAATGAGCGTGGTGGCTCTGCTCTAAGAAAACTATTTACAAAAACAGGCAGTAAGCCGAACAGCCCATGAACTAGGACAGAGGAAAGAAAAGATTCTTCCCTAGGACCTGCAGAGGGAACATGGCTCTGCTTACACCTTGATTTTGGACTTAATAGGCTCTGGAATTGAGAGAATAAATTTCTATTGTTTTAAGCCACCCAGTTTGTGGTAATTTGTTATAGCAGCCCTAGGAAACTAGTACAATGTCCCATTCATTTACTACTCTCACCACTCCTCTAATGGAGGAAGAATCGTACAGTGCTTTAGGCTGATACAGTTTAAGGGTTATGAGTTGAGATAAGTGTGTTGCAAATACCACTGTCTTGAAAACTGGTATAGGATGTGGGTTCCTGGTGCCTGGTTCCTGGGCCATAAGTGTGGCCCCAGTCACCTCCTAGGCTCTCCAAGCCCTCTTGCACAAAGCAAATGAGGTGGGGCTGAGCTCCTGGCTTACAATTTTGGGCAAGGTCAGTGCATGATCTCCAGTCTCCCAATCAGGTTTTTTTCTGTTGTTTAAAAGTAAAAGGGCTAGTAAATGTACATTAAGTGGTAAGGCATTGTCAGCATTTCAAACATCAATTAACTAAGAACCCCCAAAAGTCTTATTAACTCGCACATCCACCAGTCCACATACATAATCTGATACCATTTTTTGTGTAATTCCCTAAGAGCAGTGTTAGAGAATGAAGTTAATGCTAATCTGATACACACTGGGGTTTAACATTTTGCTTATTCTCAGAAATAGCTAAACTTTAAATTGCTTAGAATTTGCAATTTATGTATAAGTTAAAAGAATGAGTGACAGAGACCAGTTAGAGTTTCAACAAAATATACTTAAAACTTAAAAACGTTATTTTTATTAGAACCTCATCTTTTATTCTTAGAGTTGATTAAGCCACCATGTAAAGCCTTAAGTCTGCCAAACTATTTTTTTTCCCTTTCCTCAACTATCAAGACCATAGAGGAAGTATGTCACTCTACCAAAAATGACTGAGTTGTGTTGGGCCTGGAGAAAAAGTCTGGTAAAAGGAGCCTCTCGTGGGGCTGCTGATGGTTAGGCTCATCCACCGCTGCACTTCGAGCTCGACTGGAATCGCCATGGGTTTTCTGCAGAAGAGATAAAAATTACAGAAACAGTTAATTTGTAGTGGAGCTGTGCATGTCCTTTATCAACCCTAACAGGTATGGTCACTGCAGGCCAAGCAGCTCCAATGCCATCGTCATGAATCAGAATTCAGTGTGTACTTTTGACAAAATATAGTGTTAAGTCAAGACCAGAGCACAGACCCTGCAGAATTACTGACCCTGAGGTTTTACAAGCACATGGAAAGGCAATAGGAAAGAGACATACCGTTTGCCTTTGTGGCCCCACAGTACTCAAGTGTTCCACTTCAGCTGTGCCAATAGGTGGCAGCAGATTATTTCGACTCAGGGGCAGTGGTGAGGGAGAGGAGAGTGAGTCGGCCGCCACTGGGCTGCAGATCCCATCAGCAAAAACCAAGACATGAAAGCATAAAGTTATAACAATATAAGCAAACTGATTTAGAATCAAATAAATTGAGCAGATGAGTTTAATTTCATGCACAGAAAGCTTTAAGCTGCCTACATTTTTAAGTGAAGAGATCTCAATGAAAGGATTTTGGAGAATTAAAGTTTTGGGTTTCCTTCATAGTATTTTCTTATTGTTGAAACTTCATCCTGAGCACACAGCAGAAGTTGACCCTTTCTCCCACAGAGAACTGGAATAAAACAATTTTCCCCATATTGTGTTGTATTTCTCTGACAGTTATGGATTTGTAATTTCACATCTGATGGAACTCACAGTTCTGGGCTTTCTGGTTGTCCTTCTCACTAAAAACTATAATTTCCAGGTAAAGTTCCTAAACTTATTTCCTTCCATGGGATTTGGAGCAGTTTGCAGTGTTACTCATGCCCAAGATAGTAATTAAAAGCTGAATGATACTTTTCATGTCCCAGAAAAAAACAAAGCAGCTTACTTTTCCACTTTGAAAAAAGCACTGTTAGAGGGATGAGAGATTAATTATACATCAGGACCACTCATACTCAAATTAATGTATAGCTGTATCAGTATAGATATAGGTACATCAACAAAAGAGCAGCTGAGAACCCTGGTGTCCTAACAAAGATTTTTGGTGGTTTTGGACACCTCTTTTAATAAGTCTATTGGGATAAATTGTAACAAGAAATAGAAAAGTCAAAATCAAGAAGTGTTGGGAGAGAAGTATAGTGACGTCCTGGATTTAGAGGCTGAATTCAAAACACAGTTATGGTGTTGTCATCTCACACCCTTGTTCTTAGTCTTAGAAATTAACTATCCTAAGATGTTTTGTAAGTCAACAACTAATGAAAGAATTTTATTTTAAAGACTTGGCTTGGTATTTTTTGCACAGTGAGGCTCAGAGTGTCTAGTGAATGAAAGGTGGGAAAAGGGAAGAGAACATGTTTAGTGTTACTTCCTAACAAGTGCCAAGGGACATATTTCCTGGTGTATAAGCATCTACTTATCTGAGGTTTTAAAGTTTTCATTGTCAATGGAATAGGTAGATCCTAATGGTACAGAAAAATATTAAAGGAGAATTAACTATTATTTGGGGAAGAATTTCACTGACGATGTTCCCACTAAGGAAAATGTTTTATGTCTTTTATTCCTTTGGTGAGTTCTACTGAAGTATTCTAGCCAACATTTTATTTGTAGAAATATAAATCTTTAGCTAAATCAATAGGAAGATCCAGTATATCTATATTTCATTCAAATTTAACTCCATTTTTTCTGTATTAGATTTACACCAGTGTGCAGTTCATCATAAGAATATGTAATGATTACTGTTTAGGCATATATTTCAATCTTAGATTTAAATTCATTCTCTATGTAAAATTCTTCATTAGTTTTACCATAGATTCCAGATATTCTGCTTTTGAAACCTACACTCGGGATCCTCTGAGTATTTCTTCCATAGGTCTTGGTGTTCCAGCGCGTGAATGGCTTGTGCTGATGGGATGAAGGGTGCGTGGTGGGGGATTGCGTCTCCTGGCGGACTGCACTGTATATGACAGAAATGATGTACTAAGCTCCGGGGCTCGATTTGGCCAATTTCGAGTTGAAAGGATGGTACTGGACCCAGGCCTCATAAGTAGCTTGTCATCAAGATCTCTAGTGTCCAAATATCAGAAACCCACAGTGAGATCAAGATTGCTCTGTACAGGGAGACAGAACTCAAAGGGTAAAAAGCCTTAGACTATAAAATACATTCAAGGGAGAAAAAAGCGAAAAGAGAAAACAATAAATAACCTAGTTTTAGAAGTTACATAATCTAGCTCAGGCATGAGAATGTGTACCTAAAAGAAGGACATCATTTCAATCTTACACATAATTTACTAGAATGGAGACTTGGGAAAGCAAGTCCATTTTTCACCTGCCATCACAGTCACTTCTTCAGTTACTGGTAAAGACTAACCTGTAGGGTACCGACTCCAAAGTGCTTCCCAAAAGTTTACCTCAGGGACTGTGCTTCCTACCATGTTTGAAGCATTCTTTTGTGCTGAAGGAATGTCACCAGAAAGACTTAGTTGAAAGGCCAATATTGCTGCTTAGTAGTGGTGTGGCACTAGTGTGGCTCCCACTGCAGAGATTAAAATGCTGAGCTAGTTGGAGCCTACAGGGATAGGGGGTTCTTTGGAAAGCTGGGAACAGGCAAAGGGTCCAGAGCTTTGTACAGCCCAGGGCAGTAGATCCCCATTTGCATAAACAACTGTGAAATATAACACTTTCCTGTAAGTACTCTGATAAAATACCATGCTCAACAGTTCAGTAGCTTAAACTCTGCCTTGTAGATTCAGCGGCTTTGTTTTGTGTTTTAAGCAGATGAGAGAATGTTTGATTCTATTGTAAGGCACCTAAGAGATAGTATTTACACTGTGATGTGGAGGGGAAGTGAAAGAATAAAGCTCTGCCAGGTGCTCTTGGCTTTCAGCAAGTTCCTCAATCTTTCAGGCCACTTTGGTGTCCTCTAGTGCAAAATATGCCTCAGGGTTTGGAGAACTTTGAAGGAAAAATGCCCATCACAGAATAGGGCTAAACCTTGAGCATTACTCATATGAGATCTTTCTGATCTTCCTAACCATTCACTTAAGCCTTTTCTTTACACAGCCTACTGCTTTCTAATTACAGGGGGTTAGGCCTTAGCTGCTCTTTGTTCATCTTTATTCTTCCTCTGGACTACTCATTCATAACTGGATTTATCACCTCCACACTTCTAGATCAGCCTTCAAATCTGACCTTCTATATGGCCCATCATTGTAAACTCAACACACCCCAAGCTCATTTTCCCCCTGCCAAACAAGCTTCCCTTGAGCTTGAAATCTGAGTTGACTTTGATTCCTCTATTTTTATAGAATTTGATTTCTTTTGCAATATCTCCTAAAATATTTCATTCCTTTTTTTAGTCTTGCTACAACTTGAGAACAGACCCATAGCAGCCTGAACTCCTGTATTAGACTCCTTACTTTCATTTCCTCCTGCATCAGTCCAATCTGTGTCCTACTGCTGTGAAATCTATCTTTCAGATTCCTGTTTTAAATATATGTGCTCCCCAGCTGGACTCACACATTGCTCACGTGGGAATGTAAAATGGTACAATTCCTTTGGAAAATTGTATGGCAGTTTATTATAAAGTTAAGCATACACTTAACCTATTCTGTAACACTTTCACTTCTAGATACTGAAAAATGAGACCACAGGTCCACAAAAAAGACATGTGTAAGAATATTTATAGTGCCTTTTATACATAACAGCCCCAACCTGGAAAATAGCCCAAGTGTTCATTAACGGAAGAATGGATAAACAAATTGTGGTGTACTATTACAATAGAATACTACTTGGCAATAAAAGAGAATCACATGCAACAACATGGATGGATCTCAAAAACATGACATTCAAAACCCTCCATAGTCTGGTCCCAATGTTCTTTAATTTCATAGTGTCTTCTTTCCCACTAATCACACCATGGTCTATTTTAGTTGTAGAAGATTGTCAGTGGTCTTTGATCAGAACATTAAAGTTCTAACCTATTGCTTCCTATCCTACTACAGCAAAAATGGTCGGCTTTCTCTTCTAAATATTTGTATTTTCCTGTTTCCGAACCTTTTTCCACACCATTCCTCCTACCTAGAATAGCCTTGCTGCTCTTCTCTGCTTATCCAATCTTCTATCTTTCAAGGATACGTTCAAAACCTACACTTACCCACCAAAATGCTTCCCTTCTTTGGGACTACCATAGTGCTCACACTGAGTACACAAACTTCGCCCTCAGTCACAGGAATGCCCTGTATGGTTAGGTCTCCTTTTACCTTTGTGCCTTCTCAACAGTTATTTTATCAGCTCCTTGAAGGTGGAGACCATTTTCCTTATATGTTTTTACTCCCCAGATGTCTCTGGTTGCTTGGTACGTACTCAATACATGCATGTTGATTGACTGACTTTGCTTTCCTTTTATTTCTCAGTGATCTACTTAAACTCTATAGTCTTAAAGTTTTATACTTCTTACAGGAGCTTGTCCATTAGGGAGAGATTTCTTGGCTGTAGAGGCATCCCATGAACCAAGAGACCATTCACATTTGGCTGATGACCACTTGCTGCTTGACAGGGACTCATCTACATATCAAAAGAAGGTGTTACTCATTGGTTGGTGAAGATATCAGCTTGGTTTCCCAACTTTGCCAGAAGTTAGTATTTCCAAATTAGGTCATTTATACATTTTTCTCCTATGCCTTAACTTTTGTAAATCTTGGCCAGTACCCCAGCTGGAGCCCCAAGTCCACTGTCAAGATGACAGGATCAGAGTGCTTTCCTCTCCATTTCTAAATGGGGAAGCCTGGTCAACTTAGATGAAAGCAATTAATAGTCACTCTCATAGGGGAGAGAGGACCTTTATTATTATTATTTACATTATACTAGAAAACAAAATATGGAACAAAAATGGGGAGAATAAGGGTAAACTCTATCTCTTTTACTATCACATAATCCTATGCTCTGCACCAACTAATGCTTTCTCCTTCACTACACCTGGAGCAGTCAGCTCTCAATAATAACGTAAATTCTGAAGACTTTATTAGAAGGAGTTAATTGTATTTTAATGTTAGCAGGATTTAATCTTAACTGCCACCGCCACCTTAGTGTCCTGTTTATTTTCTCTCTCAGGTAGTCAGTTTAAGTGCCCTTTCTGGCCAGCTCCTTCTCTGCCACAGTATGCATTTTCCTCCTACTTTGTCTTAAGAATGTTTGGATTATTGCTTCTCCTTCCTTTGGTCATTAACAACCAGAACTGTGTACGTTAACTTTTCAGGGCTTAGGCTACCTAGGTCATAACCAGGCCAGTTCAACATGTAGAAGTATTTTATTACCATCATAGGAATATTAGATTATTACCTGGGTCATCCTCCAATGTGATAAGGTATGGGCCTTACTGAGTTTATTTTTATTTAGTTTTTTTATTGAAGTAGAGTTGATGTACATATTAATATAAGTTACAGGTGTGTACAGTATGGTGATTCACAAGCTGAGTTTACTTTTAAATAACCCTTTTTAAAATGTAGCTGCACAATATCTGGCCAGTACACCAACAAAGCAAATACTAGATGTGGTACTAAACACAGGCTCGATGAGCATGGGCCAAGGATGAGAATCCTTTTTTTTTTTATCCCTCCCCTGCTCCCACACTTTTTTTGCTACAAGTAACACTGGGAAGCTATCATTGTAAGAACTGGGATTACATAAATCATTACACATGGATGAGACCAGGCTTATCAACCTTCTGCAAGAAATGGCCATTTTTATATGCTTGTCTACAGACTTATTTGAAACCATTTTCTCCTCCCTTTGATTTGCCTTTTACATCTGGTTATGATTAGTAAACATCCAAAAAGCAAAAATGTCAACAGATTCAAATATTAAAAATAAAACAAAAACCAGGTAGTCTGAGATAAGAGAAAAAAGAGGGAAGAAGTCAAGAAGAAATTCAAAGGACAGAATGTTAAGGCCATAGAAGATCTGATATTGGTCTCTCCTTTCATCATATTTTTCATTTTTTCCAAAGCAGACTTAAGTTGACCATATAGTTGAGTCTAGATTGCACAGCTTATAGATGCCTTTTCAAAAGAGCTGATTGAGAATTACTTATCAACTCTAATTTTCTATTAATTTTTTAACAGGTTAAATTTTTTAAAATTGTGGTAGAATATACATAGCATAATATTACTGTGTTAACCATTTTCACATGTACAATTCATTGACATGAGTGCATTCGCTGCTATTAATTTTTTAAACTGAAATTAAACTTATCTTTGCAAAGAGTCACTGGATTACTGTGATAAACACATAACTTTACTGAAAAAGAGTCATAGTGATACAATTAAGGCAAATAACTGAGCAAACTTCGTATACAAGAACAGTCCTAGGTTCTCCAATACATTCCCCTGTGCGACTTACCGGATTTGAGGTGATAGACAGCACCTTAGACTGTGGCACTCGAGGTAAGACCAAAGGTTGTGGTGCATGCAGCACACAGGGGCTTTCTGAAGCTGGTCTGGTGATTGCAACATTACTGTCATCATCTGAGCAAAGGAATAGAATCTATTATCCATGAATATCTTCAGACCCACAACAACAGTACTGTGAAAAAAAATCTCTCATGAGAATTCATAATCTCAAGCTAGGCTTCACAGCTTTGCAGGCCAGTTTCATACCACCTGCACAGTTCAAAAAAACACTTTAAACCATGAATTTATTTTAAAGTGTTTCCCAGGCTGGTGATTCCTGTTTGTACCTGGCAGAAGGAAAAGCAAAGATTACTAGAGCAAAGCTGTCTAATAGAACATTTGGAGATTGAAGGAAATGTTCTACATATGCACTGTCCAGTATAGTGGCCTCTAGCCACATGTGGCTACAGAGCATTTAAAATCTGGCTAGTGTGGGATCTAATCAAACTTACAAGCTTTTGCACAGCAAAGGAAACCATAAACAAAACGAAAAGACAACCTACAGAATGGGAGAAAATATTTGCAAATGATGCAACCAACAAGGGCTTAGTTTCCAAAATATACAAACAGCTCATACAACTCAACAGCAAAACCCTATCCAAAAATGGGCAGAAGACCTAAACAGACATTTACCGAAGAAGACATACAGATGGCCAACAGGCATGTGAAAAGATGCTCAACACTGCTAATTATTAGAGAAATGCAAATCAAAACTACAATGAGGTACCACCTCACACCAGTCAGAATGGCCATCATTAAAAAGTCTACAGGGGGCTTCGCTGGTAGTGCAGTGGGTAAGAATCTGCCTGCCAATGCAGGGGACGTGGGTTTGAGCGCTGTTCTGGGAAGATCCCACATGCGGAGCAACTAAGCCCATGCACCACAACTACTGAGCCTGTGCTCTAGAGCCCGTGCACCACAACTACTGAGCCCACATGCCACAACTACTGAAGCCCACGCACCTAGAGCCTGTGCTCTGCAACAAGAGAAGCCACTGCAATGAGAAGCCCGCGCACCACAATGAAGAGCAGCCCCCGCTTGCCGCAAGTAGAGAAAGCCCGCGTGCAGCAACAAAGACCCAATGCAGCCAAAAATAAAATAAATTTATTTTTTTAAAAAAGACTACAAATAACAAATGCTGGAGAGGATGTGGAGAAAAGAGAACCCTCCTACACTGTTGGTGGGAATGTAAGTTGGTGTGGCCACTGGAAAACAGTATCAAGGTTCCTCAGAAAACTAAAAACAGAATTACCATATGATCCAGCAGTCCCACTCCTGGGCATATATCTGGACAAAACTATAATTGAAAAAGATGCCCCTATGTTCATAGCAGCACTATTCACAATGGCCAAGACACGGAAACAACCGAAATGTCCATTAACAGATGAATGGATAAACCATGGTATATATTATATATACAACGGAATACTACTCCTCTGTAAAAAAGAACGAAATAATGCCATTTGCAGCAACACGGGTGCAACTAGAGATTATCATACTAAGTGAAGTAAGTCAGAAAGAGAAAGACAAATACCATATGATATCACTTATTCGTGGAATCTAAAAATGTGACACAAATGAACCTATCTGTGAAACAGAATCATGGACATAGAGAACAAACTGGTGGTCACCAGTGGGGAGGGGGCTGGGGGAGGGATGGAGTGAGAGGTTGGGGTGAGCAGATGTAAGCTTTTATACATAGAATGGATAAACAACAAGGTCCTACTGTATAGCACAGAGAACTATATTCAATATCCTATGATAAATCACAATGGAAAAGAATATTTTAAAAAAGAATGTACATATGTATATAACTGAATCACTGCTGTACAGCAGAAATTAACACAACATTGTAAATCAACTATACTTAAGTAAAAAAAAATAAAATTTGGCTGGTGTGATTGAGAACAATTTAAATTTTACCTAATTGTAATTAATTAAAATGTAAATAGCCACACACAACTAGTGAAACCTCATGCCCATTACCACTGCCAGTTTTTGTAAATAAAGCTGTAAGAGTAGTTTGCTTATTCTCGTTACTGTATAGTACTCCATCATATGAATATATCACGTTCTGCTGTTGAGGGATGTTTGGGTAGTTTCCAGTTTATGTTTTCCAGTATATAATGCTGTCATGGATATTCTTATATATGTCCTTGGGGAAGATGTATACTGAGTATATAGTAGTATACACAGCCACATCCACTCATACACATATTGTTTATGGCTGCTTTCAAGGGCAGAGTTGAGTAGTTGCAACAGAGACTGGATGGCTGGCAAAGACTAAAACATTTACCATCTGGCTCTTTATACACAAAGTTTGCTGATCCCTATTTTAGGTCAATCAACCCACTAAACCAGTCAGAGACCCTCCAGGTCCATTATAAGATCATTGTCTTTTTTTCAAACTTTAAGTTTCAAAATCACAGTAGTTATACAATGAAATAGCCTAAATTTATGGATGCATGGAAAAATAAACTAAAAGGATATTAATTCATAGCCTAACATTGGTAAAATTGTGAAGGGTAAAATGAAAGTTTTCTCTGAAAACTTTCAGTGGTTGATACTGAAAACTGAAGTAATTCCTTTATTACCAGGATTTATTATTATTGGGGTTTGGATATGTCTCTGGACTTTATCTGTCCTGTATCTCCCAAAACTTAACCTCACATAATATAAAGCAGTTTGTTTTGAAAGGGTCTTAGACCTACTCTTCTCCAATACCAGCTTTAAAAGAGAACTTAAACATGCATACAACAGAGTGGCTTTAAAAAAAAAAACTCACATGGACAGTATCAACTGTGGCAAACATGTGGAGCAACTGGAATGCTCATACAATACTGGAGAAAGTGTAAATAGATGCATCCACTTTGGAAAACAATTTGGCAGTATCCACTGAAGTGCGAATAGCATATCCTATGACCTAGCAGTGCCACTGTTATGTACCCACTACATATGTTCACCAAAAGACATATACAAGAATGTTTATAACAGCACTATATGCCAGCAGACATAAACTGGAAACTACCTAAATGTCCATCAACAGTAGAATGTGATATATTCATACAATAAAATACTATATAACAATGAAAATGAACTATTGTTACACTCAAAACAGTTGAATCTAACAAAGTGTTGAGTTTAAGAAACCAAATGCAGAAGGGCACATACTATATGAATCCATTCTTAAAAGTTTTAAAACAGGCAAAACTAATCTGTGGTGCTGTAACTCAGGATAGGTTTACTTTTGGGGGGTAGGAGTTGAGTAACATGAAAGGGGCTTCTGAAGTGTTGGTAATGTTCTGTTCTTGATATGAGCGTTGGTCATACAAGTCGACTCAGTTTTTAAAAATTAATCAAGGGCTTCCCTGGTGGCACAGTGGTTGAGAGTCCGCCTGCCGATGCAGGGGACATGGGTTCGTGCCCCGGTCTGGGAAGATCCCACATGCCGCGGAGCGGCTAGGCCTGTGAGCCATGGCCGCTGAGCCTGCGCGTCCGGAGCCTGTGCTCCGCAATGGGAGAGGCCACAACAATGAGAGGCCCGCGTACCGCAAAAAAAAAAAAATAATAATAATCAAGCTTGATGTAAATTTATTTTGCAATTTTCTATATAGATATGCTTTATATTTTTTAATATATTTTTAAAATTTATTTTGGCTGCACCAGGTCTTAGTTGTGGCACATGGGATCTTAGTTGCAACATGCGGACTTCTTGGTTGTGGCATGTGGACTCGTAGTTGCGGCATGTATGTGGGTTCTAGTTCCCTGACCAGGTATCGAACCTGGGCCCCCTGCATTGGGAGCATGGAATCTTACCCTCTGGACCACCAGGGAAGTCTCTCCCCTAGATACACTTTAATAGAAGTGTTTTTTTTTAATGTATTTCCTGGACTTGTGCTTCCAGCCAAGATGGAGCAACAGGGACTGGCTTTACCCTCCTGCTTAAAACAACCAATAAATCTGTGAAACAATGGCTTTTAAGACACTGGGCATCAGGTAATGAAAGACAGTGAACCATGAGATAGTAAACAAATGATGCTAGCTCTGCAACTGCCTTGAAAGAGTTTCCAAGACATGACACAAAGAGGGAGAACAAAGGCAGATCCTGGTGGACTCCCTGATTTGAAAGTTCAGAGAGACCAAGACTGCTAGGGTTCATAGGACAGAGTATCAGAGAAGAAAAATGCACAGAAAGGGAACCCAGGATATCTGTAGAGTGTGGGGTGTCCTTTGAGTACTCAAAGGAGTATTGATCACTGCATGTATGAGAAAAAACCACCTGAGGCTAGGAAACAGAACCAACTGAAAGAATTAGAGGGAATAGTGCCTGCTGCTCATATGGGACCAGGAACAGTGCCTGGTTCTTCCAGCCATACTAGAAACACTCATAATTAATGGGGCATTGGGCAGAGTACTTAGGACAATCTTGCCTCAGTATCTGGGGGATAATTAGTTGGACTGAATGACCTGTCTATAACAAATCATAAAAGCAAGACCAGAAGAGATCAATTTTTTTCCAAGTAACTTAAGTGCATCCCAGGAAAAACCGAAGAAGATACATACAAAAAAAAAAAACAAAAAAACTCCCAATAAGATAAAATTCACCATGTCTGGCACCCAAAGAATACCATGCAGGAAAATACAACTCACAATGAGAAGAATATCAATCATTGAAACCAACCCAGAATTCACACACATGTTTGAGTTATCCCACTTTTTCAAAAAGAGACATGGAAGATATAAAATTCACCTAAATCATACTTCACAGAAAACAATGAGTAGAAAAATACACTGGATGAGCTTAACAGCAGATTCACCATTGTAAAAGAAAATATTAATGAATTTGAAGGCACAATAGGAAACATCCAAATTGAAATACACAGAGAGGAAAATTCTTTAATTAAATCATTACATTTGAGGGATAAGTAAGCAAATGGACTAATATATATGAGTAACTGGTGTCCTAAGGGATGGTGGGCGCCAGAAGAAATATCTGAAGAAATAATGGCTGAAAACTTTCCAAACAATGAAGACAATAAACCCACAGATCCAAGAAGCTCAACAAACTCCATGCA